CGCACTCAAAGCGAACTTCCGCCAACACCGCGATGACGTCATATTTGCCGCGCGCACCTAAGCGAACTTGCGGACGCGTCGAGTATAAATCAACTGAGCGTGTGTGTGCGTTAGATACAGTGAAGACAGCGCGTTAGTTTAGAACTCTTCTAATTTTTATTTTTTAAACGTAGAGTGTGTTGATTTGTGCAATGATAACGTACCAGCAATGTAAATGATTTTTTACAAATATATTAGAATGAGTACATTACAATATAAATTTATTAGAACGAGTACATTATTATTTATGGGCTTAAAAACAAGATGCAAACAATCAGAATATTGTACCTGGTGGGGAGTGCACAATGTAAACATGAAACATATGCCATTACCTATATTGTACTGTGGTACAGTTACGGAGGCACTTCATAATGCAGAGGTCAGCTGCCTGCTATGCCAATAGTTAGAAATGGCACTATAGTATGCAGTGTTTAATAAACAGCTGTTTTACTAAATTCTGCTGAGGTGAAATTCAGTGCAGTCCTGTATCGTGATACGCATGGTATCGTGGCCTCTGTATCGTGATATGTATCGTATCATGACATTGCTGGTGATACACAGCCCTAGTGTTGTAACTGTGTTTGCATTGCTTCTATACATAGTATAGCAAATAAAATAAGCATGTAATTCAATTATGTTATGTTGTATTTCAAGAGTACATGCATCTATGAACAAACACATATTCTATGTACTGCAATAACAGCTGGGATCATTTGTAATGAACTGCATCCACTGTGTAAAAATAGGAGAAGCCTAATACATTTATACAAGAACAGCAGTCCAACTGATACAGTAATTTAACAGCAATTCAACTGATTCAATGTCCTATATACACTATCTTTTACACTATACCGTGAGAAAATCAAAGGGGGTTAACAGACAGAAAAAGCAGCACAACACTTTGGGTGCCCCCTAGTGGTAAAACACCTTCTCATTCACAAGAGCAGGGCACAATAAGAGGGAGAGAAAGGCTTTACATAAGAGTGGCTTAATATGTGATGAAAAAAATCACAGGTGATCATTCAAAAATGCTTATTCACTGTCAACAGAAAAATATTTTAATGCATACACAAAAAGATTAATCATCTTTATGTCTATTTTATTCTAGTTATATATATATTTTTAAATTAAGTAATTATTAACTGATTAATTAATTAATTATACAAATGTATTAAAAATTATATTATTAAATCACACATGAAAGTAAAGAAAAGCTTGAGTTTAGTGTCTGGTGTGCCACTAAAAATGTAATGTTTTCAGGATGTGGTCAGAAGTGAACATACATACATCCTATGTGAAGCACACACCCCACCCACAAACAGCTTACACACACACAAGATTCTACAAATAAAACAATGAGCACGAGTATCAGAAGACAACGAGTAAAGGAATCAGCATCATGTCTGTGCAAGGGGACTTCACAATCTATTCCTCAGGAGTCAATGATACAGGCAGTAATCAAAGGTACACTGATTTGCATCTTACACTTTCTCGCTGGAGGGATTACGGTAATAATTATTATTTTTGTTTCAGCAGCATATGCTTTACATTTCTGTTTTATCAGTTTCTGTTTATCAGTGATACTGGTCTTCATTAATAGGCTATTTAGTAAAAAGATGCCTTTAAAATACATTTAAAATATACCATATTTATGTTGTTTACATTCATTTGGAGATTCAATGTGAAATTATAAAAAATATATATATATTATATTAATATACGATTAATCGAGATTACAGAAAAATGTGCAAATAATTAGTTGTTTTTTAAATTGATTTTTTTTTTTTTACTTTTTTTATTGTAATGATATTTCACAATATAATTTTTTTTATAGTATTCAAATAAATGCATGTTTGGTGAGCATAAGAAACTTCAAAAACAATAAAATCTTAATGATCCCAAATTTTTGACCAGTTGTGTGTGTGTGTGTGTGTGTGTGTGTGTGTGTGTGTGAGAGAGAGAGAGAGTGAGTGTATAAATATATGCAGACTGCCCTACTGTGTAAAAGGAAAACTTAAGTCAGGATAAAAAAAATTGCTTATTTCTATTCAGAGATGAGAAGCTGTGAGTTTCTTGTTTTCATTTCCTTCTTTCTTTATTTCTGTAGCACATGCATGATAAAACCTGAAGAAAGCCATGAAACCATCTTGCCTTGGCTCTGTCTCACTTTGGCTGTCCTGGGCCTTCCAACCAATGGAATAGTCTTGGTGGATCTTTGGAGATCAGAGAGGACACCCACTATCATCTTCACTTTGAACATAATCATATCAGACCTGCTGATGTGCTGCAGTTTTTTCTTCAGAATAGCCTACTGCAAAGAAAACAGCAATTGGCAATCTGGAACTCCAGCCTGCAATGCAGCAGAGCTGATCATTTTCTCTTGCTTCTACATAAACCTCTATTGCAACATGTGCTTTCTTTTGTGGACCAGCATTAATCGCTATACCACAGTGGTAAAACCAGGCTATGCCTTATTTCAGGTCTTTAAACAAACACGGTCTTGTTGGATCCTCTGCTTTTCAACCTGGTTGATTGTCATTACTGTTGTGGGCGCTAGTATGGGGGTTAAACTGAGGCTACAAATTAATGGGACCTGCTTTGACCAAGTTGTCAATAGTTACGTTTTCTATCAAGATCAGTTCAATACTATCCACTGCTTAGGTGTGTCAGCATTCTTCTTCATTTTGTGCTTGATGTTGGTCAGCTATAGCCTGCTGGTCTTCCATCTGCAGAAGGTAAGGGGAGGAAGTCTAGTCGGTGTTGGATATGGGCCCGGAGGAGGTCTAAAGGTTCGCAGGAAGATCCTGGCCTCGGTCATAATGTTTGTACTCTGCTTCCTACCGTACCACGTGCAAAGGATCAACTTATTAACATCAGAGCATGAAAACTGTCAGGTAGAGTTCAGGATTAAAATGTGCACCATCTTCATTGCAGCTCTCAGCTGTTGCCTGCATCCCGTCCTCCAGCTGGTGTTCCGTTCGCGCTGCTGTCGGGCCAATCGCAACAACAGGGCCAAACCCAAACCTGACATCTCCAAAAGCCTGGACACACCTCAGATACATACTATAAATGTGACAGAACACACTGAAGAACCAAAGAAAAATTAAACTGAACTAAGCCACAAACCAACATAGTTTTGGAAAATTAGAGAGAAAAAAATGCTTTGCATTTCTGCTTTTCCTGTGTGATGCATGCGGTAAGCTGTGAAACATGCTAACCTCAGGGAACTGTGTTTTGCAATCATTACTGTTCGGCAGAAGCAAAACTTATGGCTAGTTTACATGGTAGCGTGGTACCTCAGCATACTAACATTTCAGTACTTTTTTCAATATACAGCACATACTACAACAGTCCTTACTAACTACGTTGAAGCGACTTTTTCTGTATTAATGCCAACTAAACTATTATTTCAGTAAGGCTTTGTGTTGATATTCTGCTATCTGCTTTTGTATTTATTAATTTATGTATTAAATATTGTGGCACATAATATATACTTTGCATAGTCAAATTGCATTCATTACAATTTAATGTTGTTCACAGACACCATTTTTCTCAAAGTAGGTTGTTTAAAATTTTCTCCAGAGATATCACCCACATTTCAAATGTTCAGAGGCTTAGCCATCAATCAGTTCCTCACATGTCACAAACTCAACACTTTATGGAACTTATTATTTGGTCATCTTTCTAGGGTATATAACAGAGTTATAAAGGCTGATCCTATCAATGCATTGTTTGGTGTGATGCCAGTGGGTCTGAACAAAGTAGAACAAGAGGTACCCCTCAACATGTTACTTGAAAGATGTCTGATTTTACAACACTGGATGTCTGAGCAGAGCTCAGATACATTCAAATTCTGCACAGAATTCTCTGTTATAAACAGATCAAACAGCACTGAGGTAATTCAGAAAACCAGAAGTAGTAACACCAACTATAATCATGGTGTTAACTATATTACTCATTTCAGAGTTTGTACAACCTTTTTAAGGAGGGAAATTCAAGCAATTTTCAGTGATTTTCAAGTATTTCACACAACTAGCCTATATCCAGCACTTTAAAGCTCTAAAAATTATTCATTTTAAATGTGATTTTTAGTTATTGTTAGTTTATTGTGGTAAACAAACACAAAAAATACATCAAATTACCACTATAACCAGTAGATGGCAGCAGAGGAGCATTTATTGGCTTATTAGTTGTTAATTTCTACTTTTTGCTTTATATTTTGATATTGTAAAATCACTATTATAGAATATCAAATCATCAAGAAATAAAAAAAATTCAACGTTTTGCACTTTTTTTGTGGATGAAGCAAGAAAAATCACAAAGTGCCTTAAAAAACAAACTTGAATCACACATAAAGCAAGAGTACTCCTTTTATAATTACTGAAGTTGTCAGTCAGTTCCGTATAATACTATAGAAGAATAATGGTACATTTAATAAGAGTAGAATAAATTTTTTTCCACATAAAATTGCAAATGTTACTGTTTTTAAAAAAAGTAATTTTTGTGTGCTTCCCAAATGTGTATTACCAAGGAATAAACGTGTAATATTATTAGAAAGTGCAGTTATTAATGCAAAACAATAATAATTTTATGATTAAATGATCTTTATTTTTAACACCCCCACACACCATGTGTATTGCGTAAGGAATAATAATCAATTATTGCGCTTATACTATGGTTACCACACCTTAAGACATCGATCAGATGATATATTTCAAGGCAATCATCCATTTTTTTTCCGTAAAACGCTCTTCTGTAGGGTTAATTTCTTACGCATCTCATCCAAAGCCTGCTTTGCTAATTCCAAAACGTCATTTTAGACTTAATAACGGAGGCTTGAGCCGTTGATGGCAGACTAATGCAGTTAATAATATAGTTATCAGAGAGAGAGAGAGAATAAGTGTGTGAATGGAAATAATCTTGTCGTTTTTATCATATTGTTTACTATATTTATTTGCTTGGCCAGTGTCGTTGTGGGTTTTGGTTATTTTGCTGTTGTAGGCTATAAAGACCTTTGAAATAACTGAAATAATTTGGTGAAGTGATATGGATATGTAATGCGGTCAAGACCTGACTGGAACTACATTAATCGTGCATTTCCCTGAAAATAATTGCCTTAAAACGTTCGTCAGTCAATCAGATTCAAGCATTCAACGGCCCCATAATATAACAAGAAATAAACTTGTAATATTATTAGAAACTGCAGTTATGAATGCAAAACAATACAACCCTCTACATTGCGAGTAAATCACTCGCATATGTGACTAAATCTTACTCTGGGCGACTAAATGATGTCTAATATTAGCCAATTGCTAATAAATTCTCAGATTTTACTCGCCAGTGTGTGGGCTGGAGGTTACGTATAAGTGTAGCACAGATATATTTTCACTCATATGCGCGCTACATGTAAACGATATTCTTTGTTGTATTTTGCTGTCAAAATAACGGAGCTCCTTTGGAATTCTTCAGCGTTTAAGAACAAACGGCAATCTCATTGGCTGGTGCTCACCTATTATCATTCGTTTTGATTTCAGCAAATCAGTTTTTACTAGCCAATGGCGATTCAATTGCCAAGGTGTCCGTAGAGGGCTGCAATAGTGATTTTTAATACCCCCAGCGCTACCAAATATGCTCCTGGTGCCACCCTATGTAGAAGATGTTAGTCTGGAGCCCTGCTGAGGCAGTGGCAACTTTTGATATGTGGATCATGGATTCGGGAAAGATTTTGCATTTGGAAGGGATTTGTTTTATTAAGGAAAAGAAAGAGCATGTCTTTTCGAGTATCATTTACTAATCTGATGGGTAAATTTGATGAATGTATTGGTGCATTACAGTGGCTGTACTGTTACTCAGATTACGCATACTTTTCTTTTGTTGTTGTTGTTGTTGTTTTCAATGTCACTGGCATGTTAACTCGTAACCACCCAGAGTTGTAATGAATGGCTGTTTCGACAAAAAACAACAACAACAATATAACAAATAGGGGGAAAACAGCTCTGTAATCCACATTCAGGTATTGTGTGCTAAAACTACAATAAATTATGTTTCTTTAAAAATTGCATTCATAAAATAAATCAATATAAGCATCAATGTGATTTTAACATTTGTTTTGTATAGTCCTTCAACAGCAATGTGTAGATTCAACCATAAGAGGTCGTGAGGAGACCATTAAAAATCCTTGATAGGTATTCAAGAGCAGATTTGACCGTTAAAAATCTTTTAAAAAGCAACTAGAAGTTTTACAAAAAGTCTAGATGATACTCAAATGTCTTGTCCAAAAAATACCCTAGGTTTTCCACCATGTACCAATTATTTTAACAATTCTATAAAAATTTGTTTATGAGCTACTTTGTGAAGCAATGATTAAATAACAAAAAGCAAATTTTAGTTTCACAGCAGTTCTACAATCGGGAGCCTTGCAAAAGAGAACTGAGCGTACATCACTCATGCTCAGACGTCACTTCCTTTAGACAGTCAGTCAAGGGAGGTGGTCCAAAACATAGCTACTTACAGATGCCTGTTACACATATCAGTGACTGCATTTGGAGAGGTAAGTGTATTACATTGCATATATTATGCATTATATTCTTACTCTGATATTGCTACACAAATAAGTCATTTAGAATTAAAACCAAATCACTGTAAAATATTTGTTTCAACTACTGATTTCTTTATTATAAAAAATCTAAAAGTCTATTTATCTTGGAAACTCTGGTGAATATTTAACATCAATTACTTGAGCTTCAGTTGTACTATGCCCATTAAGGCACTAACACAAAAACTTAAAAGTGAAAGCAAATTTTGAAGTATTTTTTTTTTTTATGAAAAGTACACATATCTTTAAATTAACGGATCAAATATTAGGATAAAGATAAGAAAAAGACAAAAAAAAAACAAGTATATAAAATTACAAAACTTTTGCTATTGTGGCTGCTGTGAAATGCTGTAAAAACTCAAGCACACTTTACTGCTGAAAACTATGTAGTAATGACTACAGAATATCTTCCAACATTATATATAGATATATATCTTAATATTTTTCAAATAGCTTAAAAATATCCTGTTTCCCTGATATAGCGCGTGGCTGCACGCTGAAAAAACTTATTGTGAAAGTGGTTTATCAGCTTCTGCAATTGGCTTTAAATATCGTTTACATTCCTGTAAATATTTTAAGTTACTTCTGTAAATACAGGAGACAGGAAGCACAGGTTTTTATTAGTATGTCATTTTCACTCACAGTATGTACTAACAGTAAATCTAGGGCTGTGCAAAAAAATCGAATGCGATTTTCATGCGCATCTCGTCAGTAAAGCCGCTCCTGTGATTAGTAGTAAATCTATCGCATTCGATTTTTTGCACAGCCCTAAGTAAAACCTTAATTTTAAGTCAAATTGTTGTATCCTTAACTAATTTTTAACAATAATATAACTATTTAAATATTTTCTACCCTTAGCTACTGGGAATATCTTTTTCTGAGATCTCAATGGCAAACGATTCACATGCTGAATCTTACCTGTGCCAAACATCCACTACAAACGTAGTTCTGCCCATTATCTACACCATTATGTCTATCACTGGCCTGCCAGGGAATGCTATTTCTCTCTGGGTGTTCATATGCAAAATTGCTGTCAAAACGTCCACTCACATCTACCTGATAAATCTAGGGATCTCAAACTTGCTGCTCTGCCTCACCATGCCATTACAGGCCATATACTACTCACTTGGGACCAAATGGCACCAGCACAGCACCATGTGCCGAATGGCAATAAATGGTCTAACTCCAGTGATCCACATCAACATCTGCATTGGCGTGATGATATTAAGCTGGGTGGCGCTCAGTCGCTTCACCTCGTTGATTCAACACTCCCATGCTGACCGTCCAAGCCGGTGGCTCAAAGTTCTACCAGGTGCCTTCCTCTGTCGAAAACAGCAAGTGAAACTGGCCTATGCTCTGTGCCTGGTCACCTGGGCCATCGTAACCATAGCGGTCATTTCCTTTGTGGTGCTGTACTCGACCAGGGAGGCTAGGAGTGTGGAGGACAGCGATGAAGTGTGTTACAGCGTAGCAGTGGAGGTTGGTGGGGAAGGATCTCATGTCTTCGCATTAGTGGCCGTTTCACTGTTCTTTGTCTTCTTCCTGTTGGTCTTATGCGCTTACATGGCAGTGATCAGGCACATCTGGAGGTCCAGGAGAAGCGCGGTCATCTCAGACAGCCAGCGAGTCTATGCAAGAGTATTTCGGAATATTGTTGTCATTATGGTGGTGCTGGTGGTCTGTCTCCTGCCACACCACATCTATAAAGCCATCTTCGTTCATATCGTCAACGAGCAGTCTTGGTCAGCATCACCACCAAAAGACGCTTGCCATCCACTATCCATGTATGTGGAGGTGAAGAGCATCCTGCTCTGTTTAGCAACTCTGCGATGTAGCACAGACCCCATCATGTACTTCCTGCTGGACAAGATGTTTCGTAACCATGCACTTAGTCTGCTGAGATTACGCGCTAGTGCAAATGACAGTCAGTCATCAAAGTCTAATGTGGGACAGTTATCTCAGGCAACA